GGCGGAGGGCGGAGCCTGAGGCTGAGGGCGGGGTCCGTCGTGCTGGAGAAAAGCTGTAAATTACTGCCCGGGAGGCCGCCTTGGTGGAATGTTGGGTTTTATAACGCTTCTAACCTAAGTATCTCGCCATTCACATTATCCCTGTTAACTCTCCTACAGTCCTGTAACGAGGCATGGAGAGAAAGCACGTCTGAAAGAGCCAAAGTCATATATTAATGAGGACTCACTAAAAATTAAATTTTCAGTCACAGAAATTAACCCTCTGTTAATAACCTTATACCTAATTGAATCTTCTCGCTTTACCCTTTGCCTAGGTAAAGCACGTCGCAGCTGAAATCCAGTTGAGGGCTCCAAAGCCAGCAGGACGTGTGTCCGTGTTTACTCCGTTGACACCCTCCTCGCTCTATTAACCACCACTGCGCACAGACGTCACTTCATGGAAGTGCCACAAAGGTCTCCTTCAAATCCACATAGGCACAGCTAATGGAGAATACAGTAGCACATTCAGTTCTCTAGACTGCAGTTTTGCTTCCTTTTTCTCAAGCAGCAGGACTCTAACTCTTAAAATGTCATCAATGGACCTTTAGTGTTGATTTGTTAAGAACTGCAATTTTTGTCCCCAAAACCACTAACAAGTGTTCTGAACATCTGTGCAAAGCATCAGTTTAGTATTCTTTCCCAGGGAAAATTGACCAGTGCTTGTATTTTTAGACACATATTTTCTAAATATGCTCCCAGTAAGAAATGTGACTGCAAACCCAACCTCCAATGTACACGTCTGGATGCTCCTTTCACTTACACTGCTGCTCATTAAGGGTAATTCTACTGTTATCACTGAAATTACAGGGATGCAGAAGTGACATAACTAAAAGACAAATAAGGGCCTGAATCTTTTTTGAGAGTTGCTGACTTAGTTATTGACACAAAAGGAGGCTGTAATTACTGTCAGCAGCATTGCAGAACTAATTAAGCAGCAGAGCTCTTCACATATTGTCAGCCAAATTATCAGTTCTGATTTTAGGGTTTATATCATGGGACAGGATTAGTTCTCAGGAGAGAAGCAAATGGATACAGGCTAGTTTTCAGAAAATAGATTGAACAGATGGTTTAACAGAGATTTTTTAAAAAATTTCTCTCATGCAAAACCCCATTTTTGAAATCATGGAGTAGTATCTGAATTCATAGGTGTAGGGCTACACTGAGGTTATGGCTTGGATTTCAAAGAGCCCAGAGTCAGTCGCAGGCCTCAGTTTCAGTGAGCTCTCCAACTGCCAGGTGAAGAGCACAGAGCTGGGGGATGACACGCTCCCCTAGCTGAGGTTTGGTTATGGCCAAGGACTCCTTTCACCTGAACACCAAATGCACCTGGGCTTCCCAGCACATGGCATAATGCCTCAGCGCCTCCCAGCCCACATAAGGTCTCAACCACCAGAGACGGACAGTTCTAAAGTCTAATTAGGCCTGCTCAGTGCTCTCCTTACACTGACATCGCTGGGTAATAACTAAATGCACTGAAAGAGTAATGGGGTTGATATCATTCTCACAACTATTTTCAAATATTCTTTTCCTCAAAGTATGTTAGGATCACAGTAGCTGATTTCTGAGGGAAGGATGTGAGTCATTTGGCTAATTCCAAGGCAACGCAGCCTGGTGCAATGCTGCTACTGAGCACAGCGCTGTGCTGCAGAGCGTAGCTGCACGGTGAGTGTCACTGGCTGCAGGCAAACAAAGAAAGAAAGCCTTTCCAGTGGGAGAGAAGGCAGACCAAGGGAGAAGATATACATGTGTCTGCATGCATCTGCTTGCCAGTGGATTCAGTGCCAATTACAAGAATTACTATTAAACTGCTGTAAATAGCTCATTGTGGCGAATGCGTCTGTAGTGCGAGACATAAATCATGAGCAAACAATGCCTAACAGGTGGACGGAGTTCACAGTTTGTACAAGCTACTTCCTTGGCAAGAAGCTCTCTGGATATCTGCCCAGAGGCCAGGTGCTCTGTGCTGACTGACAGGACTAACCTCACAGCACTTTCCCACTGGCATGTTGCTGCATAGCTTGTTTTAGGAAGGAAACCACAGTCTAAAAATAGATGCCGAATGGACAGGAAAATTCTTGGAAAACCAGCACTGGTCTGTATAGTAGCTTAGTTCCCAGTCAAGCATCAGCATAGAACTTCTTTTCCCTTCTTCTGCCTATTTTTAATAATTTCATTTGAGACTGATTCTATTTATTCTGCCTGGCTTCCAGCCACTTTTCCTGCTGTCCAGTAATGTACTTATTAGTGGATTTCCCAGGGGGGTCCTCATTTGATTCACTGTCTCAACTCTATAATTTTTTCCAGTTCAACACTGCATGCCCTAAAATCAATAAATACACATAGTAAAGCATTCTCCCACTGCTAGCAATATAATTAGGTAACTACTAAGTGAGTAATTATACAAGTGTTTATGTGATATTAGCAAGGCATTTCACCATGACCTGTATAGACAATGCTCTCCCTTTCATTCCCACTATTTTCTTCAAATCCCAGTCTTAGACCACCTGTATCTTCTGACCCTCTTACTGCCAGCAGCCTCGCACAGAACTTGCGCTCCAGCCCAGAAAAGCTCTGTAATGTGAAAAAAGGACAGACAATATATCGAAACAGTGCTGTGCAATGTCATGAGATTAAAAGAAAAATCACTTGGCAGGAGAGGCACTGGAGCTGTTTATCCACGGAGCTGGGCCAGGGTGGGCAGGAGCTGCTGCTGCCAGCCCTGCATTCCTGCCAGCCCTGCACTGCAGCCATCCCTGCACCTCAGCCAGC